GATAATACAATTTAACAAAACTTCCTTTCAGTCAGGCATTTACACAAACGCCCACCGGGCAACTGATTTTTTACACTTTACCCAAAGAAAATTGAACTTCCCTCGCTCAGACATGTAGACAAACATCTGGCAGACAATCCAAAATTTAGTGCAAGAGAACAAAAATTAGACCATATATCAATACCTAGACTTTCAAAGATGTCTGAAAATACGTACCATTTCACTGAATTGCTGAATTCGAAATGGAAAAGGTAACTTTGCAGTGAGATTGGAGATTTAGTTAGCATGATCTGTTTTGATTTCTGATAGTTCGTGGATGCAGGGACTGTTTTGAGCATACCATTATACTTACCAGACTGATTTATATACTGATCATTCGTGGATGTCATATCTTAAACGATTGATGACATCAATTTCCCCTAAAATCTCTGGTATTAGATAGTTTCTTGAAGCTTTTCATTGCTACTTTTTGGGGTTTATTTTAGTGGACTGCAGTTTGGATGATAACAAAAATTACATTAAGAAGAAGAAGGGAAAAAGAGGAGAGATCTTGTAGAGATAAGTTTTGCCAAATATGTTTATTGCTCTTTCATGGCGGGGATAGTTGTTAAGTACATAATCATTGTATGCATTCTTGTCTACTTCACTGTATCAAAATATTCATTGTCTAGTTTATAGAAATTTGAAGCAATTGGTTTCTTTCTATGGAGGTTCTAGTTCATAAGCTGCATTTACAAACAGTTTGTACCTGAAGTTTGATAACTGCAAATATGATCAATGGTATGTGTGTTTAATGAGATTGTGTTGCTTATTGCAGTCTAACAAAGCAAAGCGTAGACTCAGACGACCTGGTATTGATCATTTGGCTTATGCAAAAGTGATGAAGAAGCTTAACTTCTGCGATTGAATTACTGAGAATTTTCTATCAGAGTTTTCATAGTGTCATTACCAGCTTGAGCGAGACTCTTCACTACAGGCTATGTATTTTGTTCCCTTTTCCAATTTCCCAAACGGAGAAAAGGGTGAAATTTTTATGTAGCCCACAGTTGTAGCCATTGCTTCATCTGGTTGAGTATGGCTTACTCCAAATGGTCCATGCTTTCCAAAACAAATTGATATTGAGGCACTGTGGTGGTTGATAGTTGGCAGATAATTTCATTTAACAGTTGTGCTTTTTTTTTCATGGGCAGTAGTCTTCTAGCTTCCTGAACAAGAACATAAAGATTGGTTCAAACACTATTCCTGGTGGGTGATCTATTTATCCGTAGTTGGTTTTACTGAAATTGGCTTGAAATTTACCAGAAATTGAGGAAAAATGTAGTGGACGGTATTCGAATCTTGTCTTAGTTGGCCTGTTAACTCGACTAGTTATTGAGAAGTCAATAATTGGCCCAATGACTATCGTCCCACGATTGCTCCTGGTTCGACACTCGCCACCCTTTCCCCTCTACAAACTATTCAAAAAAAAAAAAACTCGACTAGAGACTGCACACCCTTCAAGCTTTTTTGTTTTTGATCAAGTACAATCAAACCATGGCCTTAAGAAGTGCAAAACATGCAGATTCCTTCAAAAATTGAAAACATTAGACAGGCTACCCACAAAAGTGGAAGGTTTGGCATGGACACAATTTGAATCACAAAATAGGTACAACACTAGAGGGGGCATAGATAACCTTTCCTCTAGCTAACACTGATGAAACTTCAATCAGGTTAAAAATTCTTGCAATTGTTATTTTTGTTTCTAATTAGTATACTTATTTCTAACAACTCCCCCTCTAAACAAAGACTCATAATTCGGGTTATAATCGAAGAATTCCCAATCGAGTTTTGTTGGCGAGTAACGATAAGTTCCGTTGAGATCAAACTTCCAGTCACACTTGTTGATTGTGTCGTTACCGCAGGCATAATCATATCTATAAGCCACAAACACACCCATATTGGTTGAGCAGTTGTACATTGTTGTCGAGGGAAAAAGTCCTTCCGCTTGGAAAGTGAAACTAAACTGCTCATTAGGTTTCAAATGTTGCAGTCTAAGCTCATCGTCAAAGTTAAAACATCTGACACTTAGATAATTTGTGTGATTATTTCTTACGGTAATTGTCTTTATCGGATGTTTCGAGAAGTTGAAGATGGAAGCCTCGGGGGTGGGGACGAAGAAGACCATTGCAACCAGTAGAAAAGAGATATGCATGGTGGTAGTGGCGACGGTGGTGTTGGTCATGTTTGTTGTATACCTTTGTTCTTTCACTTCCACCTGAAACATCAAAAAGTGAGCTAGAAGTAAAACATACAAGTGTATAGGCATTTTTGTATGGTTACTGTTTATAAATACAAGTACGGGATTGGCGGCCCTGCCAACAAGAATTGGGTTGGGATTGTAGGCAATATTAATTAATTTGATTTTGATTTGAATTTGGTTCTAATTTAAATTTTATTAGTCAGATATGAATTGACATCTTTGACTAGTTATCGGGCTTAGTTTGTAAAATCTGTTCTCCGTTGTTCGTTTCAGATTAAATTCTTGGATCGAATATTCAATTTTTGACGGAATTCTTATTTAAATTGTAAAAATAAATTTTGAGAGTTAATCAGGACAAAAATTTTAAATTGCATATGGATTAGATGTTTTGTAATTAACTTGGATCGTTAAAAATCAGTGCCTTCTAATAACAAAACCATGAAAAATTCTCTAACTCTTTTCCCAAAAGGACAATGAGAGAAAGAACAATGAAGAATGAACATTGGTATGCAAATAAATATCAGTTTCTCCTCATAACGTAGTAAAGTATGGCACCCAATAAATCCCCAGTCAACACTTTCTACAAATACCTGACCGACACGACACGAGAGATCCAAATTTTGTTTCGGTGCATTATTTTAATTATATAGAAAATCAAAATATTTTAATTTTTTTTAAGNTTGAATTTGGTTCTAATTTAAATTTTATTAGTCAGATATGAATTGATATCTTTGACTAGTTATCGGCCTTTGTTTGTAAAATCTGTTCTCCGTTGTTCGTTTCGGATTAAATTCTTGGATCGAATATTCAATTTTTGACGGAATTCTTATTTAAATTGTAAAAATAAATTTTGAGAGTTAATCAGGACGAAAATTTTAAATTGCATATGGATTAGATGTTTTGTAATTAACTTGGATCGTTAAAAATCAGTGCCTTCTAATAACAAAACCATGAAAAATTCTCTAACTCTTTTCCCAAAAGGACAATGAGAGAAAGAACAATGAAGAATGAACATTGGTATGCAAATAAATATCAGTTTCTCCTCATAACGTAGTAAAGTATGGCACCCAATAAATCCCCAGTCAACACTTTCTACAAATACCTGACCGACACGACACGACACGAGAGATCCAAATTTTGTTTCGGTGCATTATTTTAATTATATAGAAAATCAAAATATTTTAATTTTTTTTAAGAAATTGAATGGAAACAAATAAAAAATTTGATAATTTATTTCACAAAATTCCAAAATACTGACTAAAATATCTCGAAACACATCAAAGACATCCGAAATATTAGTGAAACATGTCGAAACATCTTGAAATATTCTGAAATGTTTTAAAGTATTAAAATTTCGTTTCAATCGCTAATTTGTTTTGATTTCATTAAAAACGAAAATGTTTTGACAATTTTAAAACGAAATTTTAATTCTTACATGCTACTATGGGAAGGATCTGATTTACCTGTTCGATTCTTCAGAAGCAACCACCCACAATGGCTTCCTGTGGAATTCGCTCAAGGCCTCCTGAACCGAAAAAGGTTTTATTCTCAGCTCAAAGAAGACTTGCAGCCAAACCACGTTGACAGAGAGAAAAAGAGAGATTATCAAGCACAACAGATGAGAAAAATGGCTTCTTTCTATAAAGCCCATTTCTACATGTATTNATTGAATGGAAACAAATAAAAAATTTGATAATTTATTTCACAAAATTCCAAAATACTGACTAAAATATCTTGAAACACATCAAAGGCATCCGAAATATTAGTGAAACATGTCGAAATACCTTGAAATATTCTGAAATGTTTTAAAGTATTAAAATTTCGTTTCAATTTCATTAAAAACGAAAATATTTTGACAATTTTAAAACGAAATTTTAATTCTTAGATGCTACTATGGGAAGGATCTGATTTACCTGTTCGATTCTTCAGAAGCAACCACCCACANTTTTGACAATTTTAAAACGAAATTTTAATTCTTAGATGCTACTATGGGAAGGATCTGATTTACCTGTTCGATTCTTCAGAAGCAACCACCCACAATGGCTTCCTGTGGAATTCGCTCAAGGCCTCCTGAACCGAAAAAGGTTTTATTCTCAGCTCAAAGAAGACTTGCAGCCAAACCACGTTGACAGAGAGAAAAAGAGAGATTATCAAGCACAACAGATGAGAAAAATGGCTTCTTTCTATAAAGCCCATTTCTACATGTATTGGGTATTTATACCTGTAGGGAATCATGGCTGCCAAGCTCATTGAATTCAAACAAGAAAACTAAAAACAGGTAATACTCTTCTGTCATCTTGTTGCTTTTCTAAGTTTGACATTTGATACTAATCTATTTTTGGCAAACACATTTGATATTTATCAAGTGACCCAAAATTTGTTAAATTTAGATTTTTGATTAGACTTTTGTCGGAATCTCATTGGCAATAGGTGTAATATAGGTTGGTCTCCAACTATAAACCCCTTAAGTCCACAGTTTGTAAATCTATTTTTTCCCTGAAACAGTTATTTTAATCGTTATCCTCGCCGTTGTTGGACCTAGGTTCGAATCTTATCGCCTTCTCCATGTAAATAGTGTCTCACCAATTTTTTTTATACTTTTACAATATTTAGAGTACCCAAAGATTCGTATTTTCTAATCGTGTCAACCTTAGTTTTCAGAAGCAAGAAGTACATCATCAATCGTGTATAGACAAGAGTCCGACAAATAAACTGCACAACACAAAAAAACAAATTATTCGACAACATTGAAGAACATTGTCTAAGTTTCTGTCTCTTCTTCATGAGGTTTCCCAACAATCTCTGGTTCCTTCACCTCAACCACGTCATCCAACCCACGCGCCGGCGAACCCATCTCGCTATTTTCTCTCACATGCCCAGCAGCCAGGGCCCCTCCAAAGTTACTAATATTTCCAAAGATAAGAACAAGAATCCCAACAATGGCAGTGCAAAAAGCAACCCCAAAAGACCTGTTAATGTACCCAGTTGAACCAGGCGACGCAACCGCAAAACCAACACAAGTTCCCACAGCTCTCACCCATGAAAACCACGCAGAGAAGGCACCTTCTTTTCCGGCTGGCGAACAATCCAAGAGTAGAACTCTTCCGAAAGCATGAGAGAGTCCGGTGGCCGTGCTTTGGACGGCGGCGAAGAGGAGGAGGTGGCGGTTGTGCCAGTTTTCATGGCGGAAGTAGTATCCAAACCCTGAAGTGAGGGTGGATAGGAAGAGCCCTAGTAGTTGCATTTTAACTGCGTCTGCTCTGATTAGCTCCTGAAGTGGGTGTAGAAGTGGCAGAGAGAGGAGAGGAGAGAGAAAATATGTCAGCCATAGGTATAGTAAGTTCTTTGGTTTGATGCAAAGGTCTCCTACTGAATGAAGCACAGCTCCGGTGAATATGGACATGTTTGTGAAGGAAGAGAGGAAAACTCCGGCGAGACTTCCGGCGGCATGTGGGTATCGAAAAATGGAAATCACATGGCTTTTTGGGATAGAATTCGCCGGAGAAATGGCACTTCCACCGGGTCTATTAGCACTGAGAACATGGACTACACCAGAAAACCACATGAGGCCACTGAAAATTGAGACAACCCAGAGGCCAGTGAAACTATCATTCTTTCTGAGCATGTGGTAGGTGAAGGCGGCGAAAATGGTGGAGCCTAGGAAACCGGAGGCGGTTGCGTAAAGTGAGAGCCACCCAGCCACCGCCCTTCTATCGGGAAGTTGGCTCTTACGGATGGTGGAGCCGATGAAGCCGCGAATCATGAGGCCGAGATGGCGGGCATGGGAGGCTGTTCCGATGGTGTTGGCTGCGACTATGGCGGCGATGTATAGTGGGAAGATCCATCTGGTTCTGAAGAATCCGGTCGGGAGGCAGAAGAGTGCTCCGATGGCGGTGGCGGCTGCGGCGATGAGTTGTTGTCCGTGGCCATAGTCAAGGTGGAGTGAGATGGTGCCAAGTATTGGGGCTGCAACAATTAGTCCTGCCACCCAAGAAATTGAAGTCCACTCTAATGGAGAGATGTTTAAATTGTTGAGCTTTATTGACCGTTGGGCGAGTCCTGCATACCTGCAATTAAGCATAAAAGAAATTTCTTATTTAAACCTTTGTTTCCTATTGAATTAGAACTTTTTATGGATCAATCCCGGAAACCGAGCCTTTGCGAGTTCGAACTAAGTTTGTTACTTTAAATGAGGTATAAAAATTGTTTAATTTCGATCGGGACTTGAATAACTTAATTGTTTTACATATACATTTAAAAATACGAGTTTAAAAAATTACTCGAACTATAAGTCGTATTCGTACCGAGCCTAAGTAGCTTAATTTGATTATCTATCTCTATCAATACTTGTTTTTGATATATTTTTTGGTAAAATGAAGGAATTGTCAATTTTCTAAACAACATTTTCAGCTAAAAAACATGGATTATTGTGGTGAATTAANAGGAATCGTCAATTTTCTAAACAACATTTTCAGCTAAAAAACATGGATTATTGTGGTGAATTAATTTATTTTTGGTATGAATAAATTAAAGAAAATGACCATTTGTTAACACATATTGTAAGTCGAATAATTGTCTGTTAATGTTTTTTTTTTTAGGGTTTAATGGTTAGAAATATTCGAGTTATGGTTTATTCTCAAGATCAACTGCACCAAAGGAGATGATGATGAACTTACAGTAAAATTTCCTTTTGATCACAATACAAACCCTTATCTCTCTCCTCCACGCGTACCGATTCCGGCGACGCTTTGATCGTTTGGCTGATGATGAGAGGGAACAAGATCGGAATGAGAACTGTGAGGATGAAATATGAGCATAACTCATAAAAATACCAACCCAAAACTTCACCCTTAGTTGGCTTCTCTAGCACCCTTGCATATGTCTTGTAAGCTTCCTCAGCCCTTTGGATTTTCATTCCCACACCATGGATATCCAGGGTAGCCGCCTCTTCCTCGTCTCCCGTTGACCTCCTCCCCGGAGTCCCCTCAATGTCAAGGGTCGTTTCCGCCATCTGGGCACTTCTGCTTCGTGTTTTTAAAACTAAAATTTTCAGTACTCGGGTTGGGCTTAGAATCGAAAGATAGTAATCTTTGATTGAGGAAGAGATAGGAAGAGTTTGGAAGGTGAGGTATAAGAAGGGTAATTCTTGTGCATGAACAGCTGGACGTGAAATTTTAGGGAGAGCTTGAAAATCCTCGACTTGTTCACTTTGTACAACAGCATCTTTCTCTGGTTAGTGGGTATATATATCCAAATTGTATTATTCTACGCGAAAAGGAAGCTTAATTCAGAATTCTCTTTGGGTATTTGTCAGTTTTTTTACATACAAATAGAATTATTTGGTATACTTGACGAAAATGCAATTTTATTCAGAATTCTCTTTGGAGTTCAAGATAATTAAATCATAGTTCTTATGTAGAATTTAACATAATGTAAGCCTATTTACAATCTATATTTCACCTCTTCTACCCTACTTTGTGTTTTGACAAAATTTATACCTGTGGAGTATAAGAACTCAGCAAAATCAGGGTATCTACATTTTTTTGCACCAGAAAATTGGCCATCCCTTAATAAGGCAGTGCAAGATGAAGGCATTAATGAGAATGCCCCTTTATGACCCAACCTCCGCCGCTGTCGGGGGTGGGGGTGGGGAGAGACGGAGAGAATTGTCGTGACAAGGAGAAAGACTTCGCATTAGGCCTGTGGCCCATGTGCTGCATCAAAAGGTGGACAGGATAGCGGGTAATGGACCACCATGGTCCAGCTTTTGGCAGGCCATAGACCTAGTGCGTGTTTTGATTCTCAGAGAGAGATGGATTGGATCGGATTAGATTCTGAACCCAATATCATTCAACCCAATGCAAAGATATCCGACTGGAGAAATGTCCGATGCATCCCATCCTATCTTTCATTGGGATAGATAACATGTCAAGTGTGTCCCATACACATGCCTAAATCTATCGAGGCTGAAATGACCATTAATACTAATTTCTTGAAAAAAAAATTTCCTGCACCTTTCCTAATTTGTTATATTTTCAAAAATACCCTTTTATTATCAAAAACATCGCTAACACCTCTTTTAATTTATATTTAAACATCACTAACACCTCTGCCTGATAACCACCATTTCTAACCCAAAAAAAAAAAATTTCATCTAAAATACCAAAAATACACCTACATAAACCCTAAATAATGTTTCTATATAAAATTTTATTAAAATTTGAGTTAATTAAAATTTATTTTTTTACATATTAAAATTCGAGCTGATTAAATTTTATTTTTTTATATATTAAAATTCGAGCATATTTGATACGGTCTCAAAAATTATGGCCCAAGTCCAATTGTGGATAGAGAGTTGATGATTTTTATTTAGGTAGTGAGAACAGATGGATAACTTAATCGATAGGGAGAGGCAGAGGAGTTAAGTGGTTCACCCTAGCCGACGTACTGAAGTTACATCCATTGCAATTGAGTCTCTTGTTCCTTGAGCCTGTATATTGATTCTTTTTTGAGGTAAGTAGGATTACAGGCGCTGGGCCATTACAGGAGGTTACACTCTAACTCATATATTCTTTGGTGTTGGAACGCCCCGGAGGGGTTCCCATCGGCTCTTCTTATTTGCTTGCTGATTCTGTGGAGAACTTTCGTACTTGCCCTGCAAGTAAAACCCTACTAGTTGGCGTTACTGTACCCAGTGTGCCTGGATCGTTACGCACTACCATTCCCCGCAGATGGGTGTAACTGTAATAGGTTTCAGAGATGGTCCTCTGTTCTTTTGGGACGCGTGGCATGATAGGATGCGTCTATGGTTAGGATTTGACTTCTCCCTCTCTGGCTATCTTTCGGCTGGGGCTGGACCGCTGGTCCTTTTGGGCTTTGTCTCTTGATACGGGCTGACTAGGTATGCTTACATTGGGCCAACAAGCGAAGCAGAATGCTCTGGGCATGGTGGCCTATACTTAAAATTCTATCCCCATCAATATTAAAATTTTTTTTTTACGTATTAAAATTCGAGCTATATCCGAGTTATTGGCGCTGATTAAAATTCACTTTCGAGTCTATTAAGATTTATATTTTTTTTATTTATTAAAATTCGAGTCAATTAAAATTTATATTTTTTTATGTATTGAAATTTGGGCCGATTAAAATTGATTGTGAATTGATTAAAATTTGATTTAAGTCGATTAAAAATAATTGTTAATTGGGTCAAATAAAATTTTAATAGGCTCAAATTTTAATATGTAGAAAATATAATTTTTAATCCACGAATTTTAATACTTAAAAAATAAATTTTAGTTAGCACAAAATAATCGACCCGAATTTTAATACACTAAAAAAATTAAAAAACAAAGGGATCTAATTGAAAATATACTTATCTAAAGGGGGTGAGATGAAGTTTGCTTTCAAATATATCATGAGCAATTTAGTAAGATTGCATTCTAGTTAATATTTTTAATCTGACAAGGCTGTCAGTGAAGATTCAAAAAATAAAAAGAATGATTTTGAAGATATGATAAACTAAAAGGAGTTTAATTAAAATTTTCCTTATTTTTTTTAATAAAAAGGATTTTTTTTCTTGGGATAAAAAATATAGAATAATGCTACACTGATCAAATTTTAGGACTAAATTTAGAGCTCAAATAACATGACAGCTGATTATTTCAAATTTTTATTAGGACTTAAATGACATGACACCAATTAAAGAAGCCCAAATCAACTGTCATGTCATTTAAACTCTAAATTTAATCCTAAAATTTGATTAATCAAACATTACTCAAAAATATATCCCCCCCCCCCCCCCCCCCCCGCAAAGGTGTCGTGGGTTTTTTTTGTCCAAGTTTAAAGAGATTAATGGTTGCATTTATTACAAGGTGACTAATCTCCATTATGTGATCCAAACGTTGGATTTGTTTGACTCCAAGAATTTTTGTAGCCAATCTTACTCCTTGTCCATCGAAACAAACACACCCCTAGTGGATAGGGCGTGCCCCGTAACATTGGCTCGCTAAAATCAAATAAATATAAAAAATTAAATTAAAAAATAAAAATAAAAATAAAAACCAAGATTATCCTATTAGGAACACCCTAACTACAATGATCACGTATTATGTATCATTAAAA